ATCATCATCATGATAATAATGATAATAATAAAAACACAAATGATAGTTAATACTAATAATAAGCAACAAATATAAAGACGCATAATATTTCCAGTAATACCACTTTCATATTCAGGTGGCTCGAAAATGTATGTGTAAAAGAGGGAGGGGGGGAGGGGGGCTTTGCCCATAGACCTGCACGGCGTAGGGAGGGGGGTTCCAAGTGACATGCCTAGTAGCGCTTCAAATTTAGCACTCTGTTGACCCCGGGTTTTGAGTTTAACCAAACTGTATCACCCCCCCCCCCTTCCACCTGAAATTTCTGGCTAAAAGCCCCTGCAACGGCACCCTGTAGTGTTATGGTTTTAGCAAAGTACCGTATTTGATATTTTTAGTTTAGTTTAGTTTCGGTAGAGGTTTTACGGCGCTCGCAACTGCATAAGGTCATATGAGCGCCAGAAGATAAGATGTGTTACAAGAGAGTAACAAACATAAAAAAGAAGAAGGGGAGATAAGGACGATATATGTTTGATAGGAAAGAAGATGCAAACCACACCAGAGCACCCGCCAACCACCCACTTTGCTATTTTACTAAAAGTACCCTGGTGTTGAGTTTAATGAGCAATTAATTCCTAATGATTGTATAGAAAACAACTCTTTATATTTGTTGCATGTGCACAAACATCGAGATTTTTATAGGTCTTTTAGAATTCAGAGACGCATGCCAAAACTCAGAGAGATTCGCCTCTTTTTAGATTCGGTCGGTGTAATGAGGTCGACAAGTTGTCCATTTGGTGTTGTCCAGACTATAGTCTAGTGAGTGAAGACTAAAAAAATAATACATGATGTACTAAGCGTGTGTCGTTAACATGGGGTTTACATGGGTGGTCACTGTTAAAATATTGGGCTGCTAATTATCAATATGTGAGGCTGCGTGGTGGAATCAGGCTCTCGTCAATTTTTGGGCATGTAGAGTTATTGGCATCATCTTGAAGCTTGTTCATTTGTCTTTATTTGGAGAGAAAAAATATCCGTTTATCTTGAATACAGGTCGAGATATTTGCGAAAGAAGGAGGTGGGAGTCACTTGTTTTCAGAGGTAAAATTAGTGAGAAAATGGCCGCCAAAGATTAGTTATTTCCTTAGCTTAAGAGTCCTCCGTGGTAACTGAAAATTAACATTTTTGGTGCATTTAATCAACGTTTTTCAGAAAAATCCTCACAGAAATGAGTTCTTTAATGGGCATGAAATGTGTTGAGCCAAAAAACAAAAATTTGATAATAGTTAAAAAAACCTGCGGAAAAATGCAAGTTTCTTCACCTTGATTATTTTGACGAGAGCCTGATTCCACCACGCTGCCTCATATATATAGAAGGGCAACAATAAATCCTGGATTGTTGGTCCCTATATTACCATGATTAACTTGAATTATGTCCCTGTAATTGTACTTTTATTTTATCTAGCCAACCCTCACACACAAAGATTGTCTGATCTTAGTGATCTTTACTCACCCCTCCTTCCTGTTTGAACCACATGTGCTCATGCTCATTATGATTCAGTCTTGTCAGTGAAGCCAGAGAGGACAGACCTCATGTCATTTTTTCTTATATTATGTTAAATAAATCAACCTTCTTCATCAAGAAACAGAGTTTTTCATTTTGCCTTCTTAATTACAACAATGTTACAAACCCCAGTGCAACAGTCACTGGCTGTGTGTCCTTGTACAACACACTATAGACTATAGGTCTAATCAGGGCGCTGCACAGAGGCGAACGGCAATGGTATGTTGGTAAAATTGTTCTGCATTAGTCTAAATTATGTAGATCTAGATCTAATTGACAGTGACAATGACAATGACAATGACAATCTTTATTCATCTCGCAGGGAGAAATTTGTCTTGGTCGTTAACAATGGCAGTAGA